TCCCCTCTCATGTATAATGGCTCCCCTCTCATGTATAATGGCTCCCCTCTCATGTATAATGGTTCCCAATAGAATACTCTGTTCAGTAACTCTAAAGTAACTCATGTGAAGCAATAGTTAGCAAATAATCATTTAAAATATAACATTGTTTTCCCCATTATTAAATCTATAATCTATACTCTATATCATTGTATTTTCATGTATTCTCTATTTCTACATATTCTACAATAAAACAAACATTTCAGGAAATAAAAGTGAGAAACTATGTTTGAATATTTCATGTATCCAAAAATCCATAATGAAGCTCAATAACTTTTCATTTTGATTAGGATTTATCTAATAGGAAGAAATACATCCAAAAAGCAACATTGCTTTTTACAGAGTAAAACCTCTGTTACTATTAAACTATATATTTTTCAGACTACAAACAGTAAAATATGGTCAAAGCAATACAGTAAGATAGCTACAAAGAGAAGTAGAGAAAAGATTCAAAATGTAAAGAGCATTTATTGTCAGGCCCTACTATGGATGCATTCCACAGATTACTTCATTTAAGCTGTACAGCAATTCTGTTAGTTACTATCAACCTAACTTTACAGAGACTGAAAACAAACACCTGAAGGGTTGGCTACTGTCTTAACTGATAACGCATGTAGGAGAGGTCCAGTCTGCTGTGGGCAGCATGGTCCCAAGATGGCTTTGTACTGTATAAGAATCTAGCAAGTCAGTAAGCATTATTCTTTCATGGTTTCCACTCTGATTCCTGCCCTGACTTCTCTTAATCATGGATTGTATAAGACAAAATCCTTCCTTCTCTAAGTTGTTTTTGATCAGAGTGTTATCCCAGCAAAGAAAGGCAAGCAAGAAGTGCAAAGTGACCATCAACACACTTATCTCTAGTTATCTCCCAATTGGGCTTCAGATTTTGTCCATACCAACTTACTAAAACACTGTGGGCTAGCAGTAAGCCAATATGATATGCTGTACCATTGCCTGTTAGGACAATTTGTACACCTGATGTTGATAGTGTATGTGCAGATGCTATGCAGACTACCATATCACTCGATATGCTCATAAGCAGTTTCAGAAATTAAACCTCTGTTGCTTTTAATAACCATCAATATTTGGGTGTTTTGTACTTATTTTTGTCCTGATTCATCAAGTGTTTCTGAAACAGCTGTCAAATTCATCTTATCTTCACATAAACTTCACTAATTATTGCTTAAAGCAAACCTTATTTCTTGACAACTTTAAGAAGCACCATCCTAAAAAACTGAGTCTTCTCTCCATAGCTTTTAAAAGAGATCAGCAGAGTCCAGCAGCACTACAGAGGGGAAACTTTCAAGCAGTGTCAAAATCAATCTTCCTGAATGCTTTACAAAGTGTAATATTAAACCATATAAAGTTATTGCTTTGGGGCTAAGAATACGCTCAGTTGGCAAAGTGCTTGTTGTGCAAGTTTAAGATCTGAGTTCAGATTCCCAGGACTTACACAAAAAAGCCAGCCATAGCTGTTTGTTTCTACACCCCATGTACTGGAGGATGATATGGGAGAGACAGGTTATTCTCAGAGCAGTGGCAGATACTTTAGTTGTCAGGTGAGCTCCAGATTCCCTGAAAAACCCTATCTCAAAACAAGATGGAAAACAACCATGGAAGACACTTCTAGTCTACACACGCGCGCGCGCGCACACACACATACACACACACACACACAGTCGAGCAGCGCAGACAGACACATGCATGTGCCACATTGTTTAAGTCCTGTTGTAAATAGCTCCATTAATTAATATCCTATATTTTGCCACAAACTAGGCATTTTAATCACAATGAAGTAGTTACAACTAGACATTATTTCACAAGTATTTTATACTTACTTTGCCTGACTGTAACCGCTGTATTCTTGAGTCACATACTTTCTTTACAAATAATAAGCTATTTATTTGATTTTTGATAGTGTTAATATCTGAAAGAAAAAACAGTTATTATAAACTAAAAATGGTTCAAGTATTTCAAAAATACAATATATTTATTGTGATTCAACAAAATGATCAATATAGCAATTTTGTTCCAATAAGAAAACAATATAATTGTTTCATGAAATTATTTATTTACTTTAATTTAATCATACCTATTATCTGTATGTTAGGTAAAACTGCAATACCATCACCCTCACATTTAGAAAACAATGTTTTTATTCTAAGACCATGTTAATACAGCAAGGAATGCTTAATTTGAACATTTAAAAATAAGTTTATGATTCCATTATATAAATTAAGATTTTTGTTTTGTTTTATTTTTTATTTTTTTTAAATTTTTTATTGGATGTTTTATTTACATTTCATATGTTGTCCCCTTACCCCATCCCCCACCCACCCAGGAACCCCCAATCCCCTCACCCCTCCTCCTTCTTCTCTGTGGATATAACCTCTATCTACCCCCCCCCCAAATTAAGTTTTATTAAGGCTGGGCAATCCTTGAAGAAAATCACTTACCATCACCGGCTGTATCTAAAGATCTAAGGTACTGTAGCTCTTCTGCTGCCTTATCTCTGACTGCTTCTAACTCTCCAATATTGTCACTTAATTTAATAATGTTCATAAAGGCCTCATAGTTGCAATTTGAATCACGGATCTGAAAAATTAGGCAAGGGATTGTTTACTAAAAGAAAAATTCAATATAAAACCATGGGCATGTACCACTCGCTACAAACCAAGTGGGTATATACCAAAAGGAAAAAGCAGTGTGCATGCGCTTACAGTTAAAATGGGTGATACACTATAAACAAAACGGAAGCCACACAGTATATACTGAAAAGCACAGGACCATGCTCAGAATGATTGATGACAGCAAAGAAATCATCGAGGTGGCTAAAGTTAAACCAAAAAGACCTCAAAACCAGAAGGTGAGATCAACAGGAATAGAGTAAAACTTCTTAAGTACTGTAAGGGGTTGAGCTCTCACTGTAAAAGAAATCAAGTCAACTAGGGTCAGATACTCAGCTATATTCTTACATTGCCTTGTACTCTTGGTATTCTTCTTGTTTTTACATTTCCATTACGTCTGTCTACCTTAAAAACTCTACTCAATGATGACTTGCTCAAGGAAGAAATAAAGAAAGAAATTAAAGACTTTTTAGAATTCAATGAAAATGAGGACACATCATACCAAAACTTGTGGGATTCCATGAAGGCAGTGCTAAGAGGAAAACTCATAGCTCTAAGTGCCTACAAAAAGAAACTGGAAAGAGCACACACTAACAAGTTGACTGCACAACTAAAAGCTCTAGAACAAAAAGAAGCAAATACACCCAGGAGGAGTAGAAGGCAAGAAATAATCAAACTCAGGGCTGAAATCAACCAAATAGAAACAGAAAGAACAATACAAAATATCAATAAAACCAGGAGCTGGTTATTTGAGAAAATCAACAAGATAGATAAACCGTTAGCCAGATTAACCAGAGGGCCCAGAGACAGTATCCAAATTAATAAAATCAGAACTGAAAAGGGAGACATAACAACAGAAACTGAAGAAATTTAAAAAATCATCAGATCCTACTACAAAGGCCTATACTCAACAAAACTGGAAAACCTGGATGAAATGGACAATTTCCTAGACAGATACCAGGTCCCAAAGTTAAACCAGGAGCAGATAAACCATCTAAATAGTCCCATAACCCCTAGGGAAATAGCAGCAGTCATTAAAAGTCTCCTCACTAAAAAAGCCCAGGACCAGATGGTATTAGTGCTGAATTTTATCAGACCTTCAAGGAAGACCTAATACCAATTCTCTTCAAACTATTCCACAAAATAGAAACAGAAGGAACACTACCCAATTCGTTCTATGAAGCTACAATTACACTCATACCCAAACCCCACAAAGACACGACAAAGAAAGAGAACTTCAGACCAATCTCTCTTATGAACATCGATGCAAAAATACTCAATAAAATTCTAGCAAACCGAATCCAAGAACACATCAAAACAATCATCCATCATGATCAAGTAGGTTTTATCCCAGGAATGCAGGGATGGTTCAATATTCGGAAATCCATCAATGTAATCCACTATATAAACAAACTCAAAGAAAAAACCACATGATCATCTCACTAGATGCTGAGAAAGCATTTGACAAAATTCAACATCCCTTCATGATAAAAGTCTTGGAAAGATCAGGAATTCAAGGCCCCTACCTAAACATAGTAAAAGCAATATACAGCAAACCAGTAGCCAACATCAAGCTAAATGGAGAGAAACTTGAAGCAATCCCACTAAGATCAGGGACTAGACAAGGCTGCCCACTCTCCCCCTACCTATTCAATATAGTACTGGAAGTCTTAGCCAGAGCAATTAGACAACAAAAAGAAGTCAAAGGGATACAAATAGGAAAGGAAGAAGTCAAAATATCGCTATTTCCAGATGATATGATAGTATACTTAAGTGACCCCCAAACTTCCACCAGAGAACTCCTAAACCTGATAAATAACTTCAGCAAAGTGGCTGGTTATAAAATCAACTCAAACAAATCAGTACCCTTCCTCTACATGAAAGATAAACAGACTGAAAAAGAAATTAGGGAAATGACACCCTTCACAATAGTTGCAAATAATATGAAATACCTTGGTGTCAATCTAACCAAGCAAGTGAAAGACCTGTATGGCAAGAACTTCAAGTCCCTGAAGAAAGAAATCGAAGAAGATCTCAGAAGATGGAAAGATCTCGCATGCTCATGGATTGGCAGGATTAATATAATAAAAATGGCCATCTTGCCAAAAGCAATCTACAGATTCAATGCAATCCCCATTAAAATCCCAACTCAATTCTTCACAGAGTTAGAAAAGGAAATTCTCAAATTCATATGGAATAACAAAAAACCCAGGATAGCGAAAACTATTCTCAACAATAAAAGAACTTCTGGAGGAATCACCATCCCTGACCTCAAGCTGTACTACAGAGCAATAGTGATAAAAACTACCTGGTATTGGTACAGAGACAGGCAGGAAGATCAATGGAATAGAATTGAAGACCCAGAAATGAACCCACACTCCTATGGTCACTTGATCTTTGACAAAGGAGCTAAAACTGTCCAGTGCAAAAAGGACAGCATTTTCAACAAATGGTGCTGGTTCAACTGGAGGACAACATGTAGAAGAATGAAAATTGATCCATTCTTATCTCCTTGTACAAAGCTCAAGTCTAAGTGGATAAAGGACCTCCACATAAAACCAGATACACTGAAACTAATAGAAGAGAAGGTGGGGAAGACCCTCGAATACTTGGGCACAGGGGAAAAGTTCCTGAACAGAACACCAATGGCATATGCTCTAAGATCAAGAATTGACAAATGGGACTTCATAAAATTGCAAAGTTTCTGTAAGGCAAAGGACACTGTCAATAGGACAAAACGACAACCAACAAATTGGGAAAAGATCTTTACCAATCCTACATCTGATAGGGGGCTAATATCCAATATATATAAAGAACTCAAGAAGTTAGACTCCAGACAACCAAATAACCCTATTAAAAAATGGGGCATATATTTGGAGAGGATCCAGAAGTGACTCCGCAGGAGACTGACACAGCTGCCAGCTCCCCTGCCTCCCCCTATGGTCGACCGCTAGACTTCCACGCCCTCCAGAAGGGTTCCTGGTATGCCTGGCTTTGCCCCCGTTTCTCTTGCTAGAGAGCTTGGCCTCTTGATCACCACAACAAAAATTGGCTTTTTCCTAAACCAAGGCCGCCCTTGATATGGCCGCTAACATTGGGGAGCCTTCTTTATGACAATATTACACCCCAAACTGACAAATGGTTGGTAACTTGAACATTTACAAGGGACTAGGATGGCTGTGAGTTAGCCCAAGGACGGGATTATTGTAGGTCCACTTCCCAGGGGCCCACCCAATGCAGCCGAAAAGGAGTGCGTGGTGCTGGGAGTGGGTGCAGCCTACATGGCCTAAGACAGGGCTCTCACCCTCCTTTCACCCACATCGGAGTCCCTTGATGTTGCCCATCGTCAACAGCCTAAAACCTTCGACCATCGATGTGACTTGTCTCACAGTGTTTTGGGGTTGTGAACTTGTCTAAGACCCCCCCATAATTAGACATCCAAATTCAAAGTTCACATAATTGGGATTGATCATAAGATGCCTTCTCTAACTAAACAGAGAAGGGGGAGATGCCAGAAGCCAGGACCCTCACCCTTACCCTCACCCCCTACCTTTCCCCACCTGCACAATGTCCTCTGAAGCTTGGCAACTGCAAGATCCTGCTTGGAAACTGCAGATAGACTCAAAGCAGTGTACCATATCATCGTAAGAATAGCAGGGAGACCATAACTCAAGCAGTGTACCATATCTTCTGAAGAACAGCAGGTAGATCATAATTCAAGGCAGTGTACCGTAAAGACCATGACATGTTTCAAGGCACAGGCCAAGAAGATTTTGTACTTTTCCACCACCTGGCCCCTCTTACCCCCTCCCCTTGTAAAACATGCTATAAAAAAGCATTTCATGTTCAAAAAAAAAAAAAGAAAAGAAAAAAAATAAATCAAATGGTCTCCTTATCAAAAAAAAAAAAATGGGGCATAGAGCTTAACAAAGAATTTTCAATGGAAGAAACTCGAATGGCCGAGAAGCACCTAAAGAAATGTTCAGTGTCCTTAGTCATCAGGGAAATGCAAATCAAAACAACCCTGAGATTCCATCTTACACCAGTCAGAATGGCTAAGATTAAAAACTCAGGTGATAGTAGATGCTGGTGAGGGTGTGGAGAAAGAGGAACACTCCTCCATTGTTGGTGGGACTGCAAGATGGTGCAATCACTTTGGAAATCAGTGTGGCGGTTCCTCAGAAAATTGGACATAGCATTACCTGAGGATCCAGCTATACCACTCCTAGGCATATACCCAGAAGATGCTCAAACATATAACAAGGACATATGCTCAACTATGTTCATAGCAGCCTTATTTATAATAGCCAGGAGCTGGAAAGAACCCAGATGTCCTTCAACTGAAGAATGGATTCAAAAAATGTGGTATATTTACACAATGGAGTATTACTCAGCTATTAAAAACAATGAATTCAAGAGTTTCCTAGGTAAATGGATGGAACTAGAAATCATCATCCTGAGTGAAGTAAGCCAATCACAAAAGAACACACATGGTATTCACTCACTGATTATTGGATATTAGCCCAGAACCTTGAAATGCCCAAGATGCAACTCACAGGACACATGAAGCTCATAAACAAGGAAGACCAAGTGGGGGTGATTCAGTTCTTCTTAGAAGGAGCAACAAAATACTCAAGGGAGCAAATATGGAGACAAAGTGAGGGACAGAAACTGAAGGAGGGGCCATTTGAAGACCTTTCCACATGAGTATCCATCCCATGTGCAGTCACCAAAGGTAGATGCTGATGTGGAAGTCAGGAAGTGCATGCTGATAAGAGCCTGATATGAATGTCTCCTCAGAAGTCTTCAAGAGTCTGACATATTCAGAGGCAGATGCTCACAACTAGCCATTGAACTGATCATGGGGTTCTCAATGGAGGAGTTAGAGTGAGGACTGAAGGAGCTGAAAGGGTTTGTGGCACCATGAGGAGAGCAACAATACCAACCAACCACAGCTCCCAGGGTCCTAACCACCAGCCTGGGAGCACTTATGGAGGGATCCAGGGCTTCAGCTGAATATGTAAGAGTGGAGGGCCTTGCTGGGCACAGGTGGAAGATGAGATCCTTGACCTCATGAAGGCTGGACGCCCCAGGGGGTGGGAATTTTGAGGGTGGGGAAGTGGGAGTGGGGGGGTAGGTGGGGGTTACATCCACAGAGAAGATGGAGGAGGGGTAAGGGGTTGGGGGCTTCCCGGGTGGGTGGGGGATGGGGTAAGGGGACAACATATGAATTGTAAATAAAATGTCCAATAAAAAAAAAATTGGAAAAAAAAACACATTGTGCTAGTGGTATATGCGAAACTTCCTGGGATCCCAATACGTGTATATCTACTCCAGAAAGGCAGAACAAAGTCAAACAAATCAATGAATTTATTTATTATTGGACTATTAATGGGGATGTGGACATGGGGTTTCTATCATGGGGCTGGGTGATTTAAAAGCAGCTACATAACTGAATAACCACCTCAACATGGGTAAAGAGTTAGAAAAGCTGTGGGGCTTAGAGGTAGCTCTGCAAGTTTACTTAGTTTCTTGGCCTAGGCTAGTATTAGTAGTAATTCATCTGTTTGTTTGGAGGAAGTATTATTTCGTTCTGCCATAGGTTCCCTTTCTGGAGTGAGAAGACATACATCTTGAGTGTTCAGGAAAAGTTTCCCATACAGCATCAAGGCAGTGGGTTTTTTTGTTTTTTAAGGTGGAAGCTATGGAAATATAAGAACAAGAAAAATATCAAGAGTCAAGCCAGAGTAAGAATACAGACAGGACGAGTACTCATTTATAAATTAATAATGAGGGAAGATCTCCCTATCACAGGCATACTCAGCAACTACAGGAGAGGATTATGTTAGACTTAAGTAACATAATGTGGCTTTGTTATGACATGGTGAGCAACTGAGCATTTACTACCTATACAATAAGCTCTATCTTAATCACTGTATTGGATAAAACACTTTCAACTAGGTAAAATAACAGAGCTATGGAAAGGTAGCAAAACGTCTGTGACTCTCAGCAGAAAGCCAAAGAACTGGAGACTGTAAAGGTTCAGAACCACAGAAACAGACATAGTCATAATACCGATGCTTACTTTTCATTAGAAACTAGAAAAGCAAGAACACCAACTTATTGTTCCAATCAAACATCTTTAAAAGTACTAATATAAAACAGTCAAACTCTCTAGAAAAGACAGAAATATTATGGAACCTTATAGCAAACATATTTTCTAATAAGCAAAGGCTCAGTGAGTTTGATGCCATTGTTGCCAGCAAGCTTAAAAACTATACAAATCCTATAGTTCAGAATAAAAGAAAATAAGAACAAATATAAAATTATAAGAAAAATGTGGATCATTAAAAATGATACATGTAGACTGGTACAAAGAGGTTATATTTTTACTTAGTTTTTTTTTAAGAATCTATGATATGAAAGGCCTAAGTTGCACTATTGAATAAATTACTTATATGTATAGATATATAACACATCTGTGACAGAAGCCCACAGGACAAGTAGCTGAAATGATCCTATTGGCAAGGCTCAGACTGAATATGAGACAGACAAACACTGTTCTATGCATACGCGGTTAAAGCAGCTCATTCATTTTATAACAACCACTAAAAATGTAATAGTTTACAAAAGAAAAGGAAGAAATATTAGCTGAAAACACATCTGACCTACTAAAATGAAATACTAAATATTATACAATTAACTAAAAAAGAAAAAATGAAGCCTGAAGACCAGAGTATTAAAAGCATATGCCTCATACTTTGGGCCCAGCAAGACAGGGCCTAAACATTTCAGAAAGGTAGCATATAACATGTAGGAACACTGTTAAAATTATCTGTAGATAACACAGTCAGTAAAAGCCATTACGTTAAAATAAATAGAAATATCACCATAATAGTAAGGAAGGTACTAGAAAATATAGAGACTAATTTAAAAAATTCCTTTTATTTCATTTCTTTCATATACTGTTGGTTGATCACTCTGATCTTCAAACAATATTTTTACTGCTAAAAACCTATTTTAAACACTAAAATCCAAGTCACAATATTAAAAGGTACTTACCATCCATATGACATATTGATTAATATAATCAGGATCACTGAGTTGATTTATTAATGGAAGAAGAATTCCTCGTGCAAGGATTTCCTAAGATTAAATTTAAAAATACAGAGCTGAATTTAGCATCTTCTCAAATCTAACAGTGGTTTCCTGAAACAACAGTAAGAGCTGTAATACACATGGAACATGAAATCACTGCAGCCTTATAAAGAGGTGAGCTACCAAGCTGGAGAGACGGCTCTGCCATTAAAGGCTAGGCTCACAACCAAAATATAAAAGGTGAGCTACCACCTCCACATCAAAATAAATTATACAAAATTACCCATATCAACTTAAACATATCTCTGTGATGATAAGAAGAGAATTACTTATAAAAACACAATAAAAGGACACCTCTGGCATATTAGTATTTATGTGAATTTTTAAAAGACAAAATATTACAATAAAGGTATTTATAGACTCAAGAACCTACATTAGATATTTAAAAATAAAAAGAAGAAGAGATACACCAACTTGAGACTCTGTTTACTTCAAGTGGTGAAATGGAACAAGTGTAGTTATCAACATTAGATACATCTACATAACTGGAAAACAAGTGTCTCCTCTACCTGAGTATTTTAAAAAAAAATGCGAGAAAGAAATAATAAAATCTACCCACATGATCTACAGTCCCTCTCTCTAAGAACCAATGATCCCATGAAGTGTGCCCTGAGCCTTTCAGCTAAACTTTTTTCACTTGCAAGTTTAAAACACAGTGCCTGTATTTCCAGTATTTGTCTCTTAGTATTATTCTTATTTTACATCTTATATTTCTCTGATACAGTAGCACTGGCTAGGAACCTCCATGTATAAATGCAATTCTTCAACTAGCCTAGTTATTCACTTATCTTTAAGTATATTTACCTACTCCTCTAAGCTATTTAAGTCCAATATGGGCATTTATTTATATAAATAGAAATAAAGACATAATGATACTACTAACATAGACTTTTAAAGCAGGTTTTAGTCATATTTTAATGCCTGTGATATCTGAAACTGTTAAAATTCATTCTTGAGAACACTCATAATGCTAACAATATAATATTTACATAACTAAGTAAAAGACTGATTTTTCTTAAAAGACCATTTGCTTTTGTGTGTGTGTGTGTGCGTGTGTGTGTTTGTGTGTGTGTATCTGTGTGTCTCTGTGTGTGCATACATATGAATTCAGCAGTATTTTTCTTTAAAGAAATATTATATAATCTTGCATGAGCAAATATTGTCACCAACAAACATTACCCCATATTGAATTAGTATTTTTAACAAGTAGTAATGTAGGCACCAGTAATTTCTAGACATTGATATTAAGATTCTTCACAGAGGCTATTTGAGATCCTTTCAAATAAGCTGTAGCTTCTAACTTTTTATTTCTTTGTTTTACTCCTGAGACAGGGTCTCAGGTAACAGAAACTGACCTCAAACTTTCTATGTATCTGAGGATGACTTTGAATACCTAACCCTCCTGTCTCAGTTTCCTAACTTTTGGGATTATAGGCACAAGCTACTATGCCAGGCTTTCTAATGTTTTTAAAAATATATTTATATATGAAATTCCTTTCTTCAAATTCTGTTTCTGATCCACATGTTCAAAATTTAAAATGTACTTTATAAGGAAAAAAAAATCAATCCCCCAAATCAATTTTCTAGTTTCTTTACAAAATGAAAGAACAACAGATTGGAAATAAATGTCATTTTGATGTTCATTATTTAACATAATCAGTGAATCTGTCTTAGAAAATTACTCTGGTCTTCTAATTCTCCTCATTAAATGCCTGGCTAGACAAAGGTTTGTCACAGGATTATACAACATCCCTGTAGTCCCAGAGACGCACAATAATGTGCAGCTGGCTTGCAATTCTTAGTGTATGTCCCCCAACCTTTTCAGACTTTTCATTACATGGTGGTTGAGGGGACACAACTCAGCTCATGTGATCAGAGGAAAACTTGCATGGCCCTCTTCCATTACGTGAGTTCTGGAAACTGAACTCAGGTCATCAGGCTTGGTGTAGATGCCTTTACCCACTGGGCCTTCTTGCTGGTCCAAGACCTCAAATTTCTAAAAGATTGCACCAAACACCAATATAAGTTACTGAATCCATGAATCTTTCAGTGAATAAACCATAATAATAGAAAAAATGTGGAAGTAGTTAAATAGTAATTACCTTGGACAATTACTGTATTTGTACAATCTATGCATCAACAAGAACAAATCCATACTGCAGAAAGACCTCTTTATTATTTAACCTAAAGAAAATGACTCTTGTGAAAGTCTGAATTTAAACAAAGAAGACTGATAAAGGGCCATAAGTAAAAAGAACAAAACTGACTTGTTGAAATCAGTGTTGTACTAATATAGATTTGACCAAAAAGAATGAAATCTGTCCTAAAGCAATCTACAGCAAGACAAATATGTTGACTACCTTTTTGTTATTTTTAAACAATAAGGTCACTTCACAAAGCACATCTTCATTGTTGGCTCGGCAATAGCCTGTAAGCCACAACCACCCAGAGGACAAACAGGGCTTCATCTTTCATCACAAGAGAATCACTGGTTTGGTATGGGCTATATATCACACTCTGAGCTAACCACTAGACTCACGACAATATAGATACTGGTTGGTATGGACTCAGTTCCCAGTTTATTATGGAGAAAAACACCAATGTGTAAACATGAAACAAAATCATCACTTTAAGTACAGTAAAAACTATGAAGGAAAAGAACTTGGCACTGCCTTCAGTGGTTATTTTTGGGAAAAACTGAACATGATCTGGCTACAAAAATCATTCTGAATGAGAATAGAGAAGCATGAGACAACTGTCAGTGAGTGAAAAAGAAAATGATAGTTCTGGGGGGAGAAGATAGGTGTAACTACAGTTGACTGGTGACAGCTTTATCCTCCACCAAAGTCTAGTCAGTTACAGTCTCTTCCAAATTAGACCTCAGCCTGTTTCCATCACTGTAGCAAACACTTCTAGCAATAATCCAACCAAAGGTATTTAGCTAGAATGCCTCCACCCTCAATCTCTGATCAAATTTCTCATCCTCACTTTGCTATCTGATCATCCTGGTCTACCTCTAGCAAGAACCCTAATGAGGGTGTGTAAACTATGGCCACCCCTTATCTTTCATCTGTCAACGCTTCAGCTATCAATCTAATATAACTTAAGAGTCAACAGGGAAACTAAGTGAATAACTATCCAAATCAGATTGGCCTGTGGCCACATCTGTAGGGCATTTCTTGATTGCTAATTGACTTGGGAGGACACAGACGCCATGGTCAGTGCCATCACTACATAGGCTGGCCTGACCTATAAAAGTAAAGTGAGCTGGCACACTGGTGAGGATGTGGGAGGACAGACTTGTACAGTCACTATGTAAATCAGTGTGGTGGCTCCTTGGGAAGCTGAGACTAGATTTACCTCAAGAGCCCACTGTATCACTCTTGGGCATACACCCAAAGGACCCTACATCCTACTACAAAGAACTATCCATGTTCATTGCTACTCTATTCAAAATGGCTGGAAACGAACAGTCTAGATACCCACCAATAAAAGAATGGGTAATAAAAATGTTATGTTCAATCCACTGATCTACCCCCAATTCCTTGACTATAAATTTCCATTTCTTTCTCCTATACTCAGATTTAGTTGTAGTTCTATAATGAAGCTTTCTGCCCCACCCCCCTTGAGCCATTCCTGAATATAATCCCCTTTTGGAACTTTACTGCACAAACAAGATTCTTGTTGCAGTAGAATGGAATTGGCACAGAGACACACAACTGGATAATATGCAGAGAGTGTGAGTCTTTGGCGCACTCAGTCTGAAAAGTGATACGATATTTTCATCAAACCCTTCCTCCCAGGATTCAAGGAGCTAAGTAAAGAAGGAAGCAGAAGGATTTTAAGAGCCAAAGGTAATGGCTGACTTCAAGGAAACATTATCATTCAGCCACAACAAGATTCATGATCTCAAAAACTGTGGCCACATACACAAAACCTGTACAGGATCAAGACAGATAGAATCCCAGCACTGAGAGGGGGAAGTAGACATAGAGTCCCGCCTATAACAAAGAAGCTATCTACAATTGATGCCATTGGCAAAGAGGAAAATCAACTTTCTCCCATGGAGTCTCACTAGGTATATCAGCCACACTTCAGGGAAGATCCAAGCCAAGGAGTAGTTGGCCAACACAAAATGAATCCAATGATATTTTGTGGACTGCATGTTGTTTTATTTTTTCTTAATGTATTTTCTGTTAGTTTGTTGTGAGATTTTTCTGTGTTTCTTGATTTCTGTTTTGTTTTGTTTTTGAGAGAGACACAAAAAGGAACATGAAGTAGGGTGGGTAGGGAGATCTCAGGAAGGAAACATGATAAAAAGATATTGTTTGTATGTGTATTTTTTCAATAAAAAAAAAAGGTCTTTGTATTACAACCAAAGATTAAAGATTAACTCTAAGGCAGTTCTCAAAAGTACTGGCCAATGACCTCTGGAGAATTCAAATAAGGTCTCCAAGGTCATTTCTCCCATTCAAATACTAACCAGGCCCGATCCTGCTTAGTTTATGAGATCAGACAAGATTGGTGAGCTTGGGGTAATATAGCCATAGATCCAAATGTTTTTCTCAAAGAATGACACATTATTTACCTTTTATTCTCAGTCTCTAACAAGCATATAGTAAGACTTTAAAAGGAACAAGGTGGCACGTCAGTGATCTATCAGCTAATGGAGTATATACTTGCATACTCATTTTGGTTTTGTATTTTATAATACATATATAGTGTAGATGAAGAATCACATTTTTAAAAGCTCCTTGATATTTCAATAATTATGAAGTTTAACTGGGTCTTGCAGCCAAAGATTTTGAGAACTACTGCTATAAGTTCCCTTATGTCATTATTTGTTATGAATTTAGGCTTACCCTGACAAAGTATCGCATGATCTTGCTCTGGAAATCTCCAGGAGGTAGCAATAAATATAATAAAACCTCACACAAATCCCTTAGGAATCCTAAAAACAGAAAAAGTAGCTATAATAACATTAGAAAATCTAGATTCTCTATCTATTCTTAATATAAAAAAACATTTTTTAAGACGGTTCATGCTTATAACAGCTTCCTACTTTGCTATTTACACTGATCACTAAATTGTCTTCGCTGTTGTTATCCAAATATGACTGTGCATTAATGAAAGTCCTATCAGTCTGACCCAGTCTTATTAAGCATTAGAAATTTTAATGACAAAATTGCTTTTCTCGAAGATAGTTTTAAGTGCACAATGTACTTTTCACTTCTATTATGTGTATTAATTATCCTTGCATACTTAGAAGTTATTTGTGCAAGTAAAGAAAACCTAGTAATTATTTCCAGAAAACAGCACTTCTACAATTTCAGCATGTAAAGACAATGTAGCCATATGCTCTTCTAGTATACTGGTTTAAGAAAGCTCACCTCATATGCATACTTCATTCCACTGTATTCAATCACTGTAAGTGCTTGTTACTTAACTGCTATTGCACACAATGTTTATGAACTGGCAGTGAAAACTGAACTTAATAACAAGTATAACCAGGAAAACAAGAAAAAAATGGGTAAGAATAAAATAACAGTAAGGCAAGAAAAGTTTAGCATATTCTCAAAAGTGAAGAAAAATCACTTCCAGAACTACCAATTCTTCCTTATTGTTGTTCCCACATGGAAATTTCCTGGGAAGCAATTCAACAGCTAATCCCATTGGTAAAAATACACGCCAAATAGGAAACGCCTAATCGTGAGACTAAACTTAAATTTAAAAAAAAAAAAAAACTCTACCAAAATTTGTCTAACTTCTCATCAAGAGAAATTTTATTTCAACATCAAGAAACACATATTCCAGTATCTAGTCAAATAAATAAAACAGCATAAACAATCTAAACATTTTATTTGAAATTAATTAGAAACAATTTTTAGGATAACAGGTATACTCTTAGGGTAGAAATAATAACTTGAAATTACTATTGTTTTTAAAATGTAAGTGTTAGTAACTTAAAGATAACTGTCAGGATGGGAAAAGAATACAGAAGCTACTTGAAAGGATTACAGTAAAATAGTGTTTTCTGTACAAAGCTATCCTGTGCAAGAAAAATGCCACCTTACAACTGCTCTGCCAACTTGTCTCTATCCTGTGACTGGACTCAAAAGAGTTAGAGTAAAAGTAAAACCTTCTTCATCTTTGGGAGAAGTGCACACTAGATCTCGGCAAACATCCTTCTCCATTTCAACTTCAACTTCAAAAAAGGTTTCTACCAGATCTTCTGCTGTACCTAGAACAACAAGGAGTAACTGAGATTACACAAAGAAATAAGAAATTTTTAAATCTTGACTTTCAAATAAAATAAAGCCAGTACCTTTTACTTGATCATCTTTCTCTGTTACTTTCTGTTGAGCCTTTCTGAATACTCGTAGGTGAGTTCCAAAATCATCTACAATGCGTGTAGTAAAATAAGGCTGCCAGTCTATTTCTTTTGACCTTGTAGAAAAAAATTAAATCATTATATACATGCTTTACAAAAATCTATGTCTACTTTAATGAGGGTAAGTGTCAGATCCCTGGAGCAGGTGATACAGCAGTTGCAAGCAGCCAGTCAAGAAGCAAACTCTGGTCCTCTGCAAGAGCCGAAGGTGCTCAGAACCACAAAACATCCCTTAAGCCCATCATGTTGAGATTTTGTTCCTTAATTACTTTTCTATCTCAGAGTTTATTACATAAGAGTCTTAAGTACATCAGCTCTTATTTCACTTTGTCTTCTGACAACATATTTTAATTAACATCCAAAGGCATAAAAATTCAATTTAAATTCTTAAAATTAGCAAATGTAGTAAAATGGTTTCAGTTTAATCTGAAATAAGCCTTTCCATAGGTACATCATATAATTTCTGAGCCCAGACATAAAAACACCCAAGAGATTCAGAATGTCTACTTGCTTGAGATTGTTTCAGACATTACTTGGTTTCTTCTGAATCCATTATAAATTTTTCACTCATTCAACCTATCTTCTGAAACCAAATGTCTATGGTAACTTACTTCTTTTTGTATAAACCAGCACTTAAAACTACAGCCACTAAATAACAAGACACACAGAACTGCTTAGTTAAAAGATGATAGTAAACATAGCTTGTACAAAACAGTTTAAAATACAAAATGCTGAATACTGATTCTATGAAATTATCTAGTACAATATTTCAACAGCAGCTAACCTCAAGAAACATTTTAGTAACTAGCCATACAAATAAAAACAACATATAACTCTGATAAAGCTTTCAAGGTCAGACCTATGGCAAAGATAAGTAAGATATGCTCATGAAGATGTTGGTCAATGAGAGAACTGGGCCAATGGGACCAGGAAAGATCACAAACTCACTGTGACCACTGACAACACATAAAACAACACATAAAATGAACAACTCATGTAGGTGTTTACTTGATGGCTGGCACTGTGTTTCTTCTCAATCAGAGGCTCAATTAGAGGCTTTGCAGTCTAGCAAATAAACCAGTTTTAATAAGAAAGACAAGACACTGACTGAAGAGTCAGATGAGCATTTCTTGAAGACAAGATGAGCATTCTGCCTTTACTGTGGCTATCGAACTATTGCCAAGCAGGCTGGCAGGCCTATCAGTAGGCAGCACACAAGAAATGTCCATAAAACTCAAATCAAAACACAACTGCTAAGAGGAAACATTGAAGAGTAGCGATGACATTGAAAAAAGTATGGATTATTTTCCAAAACAAATCTTGTCTATCAATGATAAAGGCACATTTATAGTTTGATAAACAAACCTTATCTAGTAATTGTAAAAGCAGTTAGACTTACATGAGAAGGTAGAAATTAAACATTACAGTGTTCAGATCTTTAGGAGCTGATAAAGAATCAACAGTCTCAAAATATAAACACATGTTTAAGCAGTCAAAGACACCTGGCAGCAATATTATCACTCAATATAAAATATGAAGTAAAAATGTAAACCTCCTCCTATGCCTTATTAAAAAAGAAAAAACAAAACAAAACCCAGTCTGTCATGTTGACACACACGTGCACTCAAAGCAAGCAGCAGCTGAAGGATCTCAAATCAGGAGTTAGAAAAAATAAATAAATACGTAATTAAATAAAAAAAAAATCAGAGGTGAGTCTAGGGATACACACTGAACCAGAGACCAGTCTTGGCTACACAGTGATAGATACTCTGGTCTTAAGAACCATTTAAGTCATAGTTTATGTGAGCAACTTTCAGTTTTATAATGTACAGTGTACTTACTACAGGCCATTAGGTAAACTATTCCATAAAAGTTTTCAAGAACAAGTTTGGAAGAAAAAATAATACAATGTTTCCTATTTGTTTTTCTTTGTAGAACAATGCCATCCATTACTGAATTTTTCAAATGGCATAAAATATGCCAAAATTAAAAGGCATTTTAAACCCACCTCAATTCATTAGAACATCTGACACTTAAAATTAATAAAAACCATCAAATAACATATTATTTAATATAGATGATTCAATACTAATCTAGACTTCTATTTTTCAAAATAGAAATAAAAAGGTGAACTAGAAAATATCATCCTGAATGAGGTAACCCAATCAGAAAAGAACACATATGATATTTATTCACTCACTGATAATTGGATATTAGCACAGAAGCTTGCAATACCAAAGATGCAACTCACAGACTATATGAAGCTCATGAAGAAGGAAGACCAAAGTGTGGGTACTTTGGTCCTTCTTAGAAGGAATAACAAAATACTCAAGGGAACAACTATAAAGACAAAGTGTGAGACAGAAACTGAAGGAGGGGCCGTCTGGAGACTGTCCCACCTGGGTATCCATCCCATGTGCAGTCATCAAAGGTAGACGCTGATGGGGATATCAGGAAGTCCATGCTGACAAGATATAGCTGTCTCCTTAGAGGTCTGCCAGAGTCTGACAAACTCAGAGGTGGATGTTGACAGCTAACCACTGAACTGATCATGGGGTTCCCAATAGAGAAGTTAGTGAGAAAACTGAAGGAGCTCCATGGGGAGAGCAACAATACCAACCAACCAGAGCTCCCAGAGTCTAAACCACCAGCCTGGGAGCACATAGGGAGGGACCCATGGCTCCAGCTGTATATGTAGGGGAGGAGGGCCCTGTTGGTCATAGGTGGGAGAGGAGATCCTTGGTCCCATGAAGCCTGGATGCCCCAATGTGAGGGAATTCTAGAGCAGAGTGGTGGGAGTGAAGGGGTGGGTAGAGGCATATCCTCATAGAAGCAGGAGGAGGGGGGATAGGATAGGGAGTTCCTGGGCAGGGGGGAAATGGGGTAAGGGGATAACATCTGAAATGTAAATAAAATATCCATTTCTAAAAAAAGAAAGAAAAGGGTAAAAACAGTACACTCCCTGTATTTTGACTTTCTTACAATTACATGCAAATCTAACAGAAATTTGAACTCCAAAGAATTTCCTACACTAAGAACAACAACCACACTATTGTTTTTCATTTATACTAGGAGAATACACTAAAAATGCTTAATATCTTTCTTGACAAAGGCAGAAAAGTTAAATAATGAAGCACTTTATAAAATGGTGCATGACAGATATCTAAGAAGTGAGATGAATATGAATAGAGACCGCTCAAGTCACATCCCAACACAGCTTCTTCCTATGAGACTCCTGATACCAATCGCTATAAAGTTATAACCACCGCCAGTCTCTTTGTTCACTTTGATTACAGTACTACTTCCAATGATACCTACTGTAGCAAAAGCCTGCGGATTATTGCACAAGGAGTCTGGCAACTAATACTTTCATCTTCTCATTATTTATAAGGTAAAACTCTTTAAACTTAAGAGCAGTCACCAAAGAAGTAAAAAGGAAAATAATATGCCCTAACCTAAAGAAACAAGTGCATTATGCCCCCAGCAGCTTATATGCTTTGACAAAATGACTGCGGAAACAAGAAAATTAGCTACCCTTCAAACAAGGTGATTGTATTTTTCATTAGCACAAGGCCAAAGCATTACACATTTTTTCTTCACACCTAAGCTCTGTGTGGCCTCATCTCTGTGTCTAGTTTCACAGTCCTATTCCTCAGAACATCCCTGTTTCTAGTCTCCAAACTTTTTAAATACAGATATACACAAAAGTAACACAAATGAAAGCTTTGCAAGCTCTCTGACACACACCCTTATTGTTATGATCACACAAATATATTCTCTGCAATCCTGCATACCTAAGCCCTTGCTAATCTTCACTGTTCAGTTTGCCTCATGTCAGCTCTGTGGACTGGGAGGCTTTTGCTGCAATTTTCAAATGGACTAACTTTTCAAATGTGTCTAGGTGCCACTGAACAAGCAAGCCCTCTCCACTCTCCACACATTTCCCATTGCTCTCCCACGTATACTTCAAAAGTCCAATTTCCACTTTGCACAGAGCTACCTAAAATGGCAGTCCTTCTATGGCACGCTTCACTGACTCTTGCCCACACCACTACTGCCTCAGATTAGGTCAGGTTCTCTAGTTCCATGTTCTGCTTTCACCACACTTTACACTTCTTATTGTACAACTCATAATTAGATATTTTCATCATTAAAACAAAAACAAATCTCAGGAAAGGAAAACTTTCCTTTAATGTCTCTCTACTTTACTTACAGTTTATCCCTCAGTGCCTAAGTAACATGCTCAGCACTGGTCCAAAATACATAAAGACTTACTGATCACTCTCCCAGAGTCAAAACACTGTTAACAGGTGCCTGAAGAATGGGCACATGTAACCCAGGAATACTTGGCTCTTTCTTCTTGGAGGTTTAAACAGCACACATACTGAGAAGCTTTTTGTTCCCAAGCTACATGCCTTTAAAAGGCAATGAATGTCACTACTCTGTGGGCTGAGATTGCACTGATCAATCACTTTGCTTGTTCCGTCAACTCTAGGCAGTGTATAGCTCCTTACTGGTAACATAAAACACCACCACAACCTAGGATTTCTGGAAAAGTATTAGACTGGCACATATATCCTTTAGTAAAACTCATCGATCCAAAATTATTCATACCAGAGAATATCCCAGAATCTGTCTCCTCTAAGAATACTTATAGCTTTGTAAGTATAATCATGCCAATCTAACAATAGCCCTGTTGACCAAAATGGCTATTCAACATCAGATAAGGAACCCAATTCCACACTGGATTCCAAATTGCATAGATGTCAAGGTTCTGGGTTTTCCAAAGAACTTGGATCTCTACATACAATGAGCCCAGTCCTTAGATGAACACACATAAAGCAGCAGCACCCTTTTAGGGATTGATATGAAGAGCAAGAGTGGAGAGCCTTAATCAGGTTCTAATAAAAGTAATAAATGAAACTTTAGGTTAAAATATATGTCAAGGTCCACGGTAGGAAGTATAAAAAACTGAACTCAAGATGTTACCATCTCAGTAAACAAGAGTCTTACTAAAATTTACTTGTGAAGCGAAACATTCAGTGTCAACATATATATTCACAAATAGAAATTTAATAAAAATACAATTTCTGAATATTCATCATTCTTTCACATACAAGGCAAAATATTACATATTAGTTTCAAGAACACTTACCAATCAATATTGAAAGCAAATGAATGTCTTTTCAAAGAGGGTCAAGTGTGGTGGCACTCTGCACCAATCCGTGAGAGGTAAAGACTAGGAATCAAAGGTCAGCATCACCTTCAACCACACAGGGAGTCTGAAACCACCCTGGGACCAGTGGCCTGGTAGATAAAAGCACCTTTTGCCAAGACTAGACTTGAGTTCCATCTCTGTAACACACACACACACACACACATACACAAACACGCACACGTGTACACATGTTCGTACACTAATACAAATAAATATAAATATACAAATAATAAAATAAATATAAAAATACAACCTAAATGAGACATCTGTCTCACACCCTCTTGCTCCAAAGCTTGGGGAACATCAAAGAGGAAGCAGAACAATCCTAACATCAAGAAGAAAGGGAAAGTCTACAGCAACACTATTTACCAGGCATGACAAAGTAGCAGCACACATGGTCATGGAACTGCAGGAACTGCACACACAGGACATGCCGAGATCAGGCCAGCCACAATTTTGTTTTTAATTTTACAAGAGGATAAGAGAACATAAAAAGTCATCTTGGATATCTATATTACTGATTACTATGTTTTTATTGCCTATATAATCTGTGGCTATAAAGCAAAATACACAATTTATAAAATGTATTTTTTTTCTTTAAAATTCGGGAATTAACTATACTCAGCCATATACTGAAAATCCAATAATCACTGCTGTATTTAAGTCACTGTCATATATATTTACAAAAGTAGGTAAAATGATACAGCATATTCTACTTTGATACATTTCATATATATTTAATGTTTCTTAAAAGACTTAATGATAGAGCTAGAGAGAAAGCTCAGCAGTTCGGAGCACTGACTGCTCTTTTGGAGGACCAAAGTTCAATTCCTAGCATCTACACAGCAGTGCCCAATGGACTGGAATCCCAGTTTTAAGCACTTGACACTCTCTTTTAGCCTTGCTGGGCACCAAGCACATGGTACACATACATAAATACAGGGAGAATACCCATAAATATAAAACAACAATTTTAAAAAAATTTTAAATGATGACAATGGTTTCTATTCCTAGGTAAGTAAACTTCCCTTTCTAATGAGACATATAAAAAGCATTTTAAAGAATGTCCTTTACCTTTGTCACAGCCAGGTAATTTTACCAAAAGACTACGAAGACTGAGAGAAGTACAGACAAATGAGCACTAACTATCCAAATGGAGACAGGCTCTGTAGGTCTACCTGGCTATTCTGCAGTATTGGAACTTGCTAGGTAGACCAGACTGGCCTTGAACTCACAGAGATTCCTCTGCCTCTGCCTCCTGACTACTGGAATTACAGATGTGCACTAGCATGTCCCACGGGAAAGTATGGCCAATAATAAAGTACAAGTAGCCTTATTTTAAAACAGAGCAAGGATAAGCCTAGACACCTCCTTAGTATTCATATACAATGGCTAGTAAGCATATGAGAGGATGACCAATGTTAGCTTTCAGAGAAATGCAAGGCAAAATCAAAATGAAATGCTGTCTCACTCCTACTAGGTAGCTACAATCAAAACTGATGGACATACAACTGTTAACAAAGAAAGAAAAATATGAAGTTTCGCATACTGGTAAGAAGAATTAATACAATGTAAACACTTCTAAGAAATTTGCATTTACTCAAGATACTAAATATAACTGAGGCATTAAATATATTTTAGATAGATGCCCAAGAGAAATGAAAATAATTATTCATATAAATAATGTGATCATTATATTCCATAATAAGTCTACTTTTCTACTTATAGTTAAAAATTTCCTTTCATTTGGAAGTTGTTTTCCTGCTGCAACATGACATATCTGAATTTTTTCTATATAACTATAAACAGCAACTTACCTAGTAGCAAACTGGATGAGTGCATTTTGAAGAGTTTGCCTAATTTCAAGAAGAAATGACTCATCATCGCTTAATGTGTAATACCAGTACTGGACATAATCCCTCAAGGAGAACTGGATAACCTACAGCACAACAGTAAAGGAAAACAAGCTTTTAGGATTTAAAAACTAACAGCAGCAAAACAAACAAAACTAAGACTTGTTTTCTTATATTCTTCTTCTACACATCTTAAATTGTGATAATAAATTCCTATCTTCACTATAAAAACTTTATATTAAAAGCCAGAATAAAATATGTTTTAAAACTCCTACTCATTCACTTCTAATTTTTAAGCAAACTAAAACATCATCTAAGACTACTTACATTCAGACAGAGTTTGAAAGGTTTTGGAGTTTGGAAAGAGTTTGGAAACCATTTTCAGTCCTGTAATATGCTGAAAAGTTCAACTCAGTTCAACAGGATGAGACGTAAATAATGCTAACAGGCATTAATGGAAACAAATGCTTTGAAGATGCCCTCATCAGGTCCATTATAAAATCTAACTACAAACACTAACTTAATTCTACTCATACCTTTAATGCAGCCTGTGCCATTAGTCCATAACATCCAGACTATGATTTCTACACGTCAGGTAAGTTAATGGCAGGTTCATTTATAAAATATTAAAAGTTTAAAGTATAGATTATTTAAAATGATTACCTAATCAAAACATTATCAAAAATATCTGTGAGGGGGATATCATTATCTAATTCTAATTAGCATTTTTAACCAAATAAGAGATATGCAATTTTAAGAAATAAAAAGAACTCAAAAGTCTAATTTACCTAACCAATGGGATTGCTCAACAAGACTAACACATTAATATTTTAAATTACAAAATTAGTAGAATATTATTAGATGGCAGCAAAATATTTTTCTAATCTAGAGCTAACCCATAAGAGCTATATCATTAAATAAGCTACCTCATTATAGGTACCTAGTAAGTAGAATTATTAAGTACACAATTCAAAAATAGCATTATCATATAATTTCAAGACATTGCTTAAATACCTAAAAGGTGTACCTTACCATTTGCAAAAGAAACATACATCAAATACAATAGATGGAATTGAAATCCCACATACTGAAACTCACTTGCTGGAGAGGCTCATCAATTATATTGGCACCAGTCAATCTTCTGTCAATCTTAATAGTCCTGGCTTCTCGTTTCATTTCTTCTAAGCACTTAAGGGAAACCGTGATCTGTTACTGAATATCTCCTTGATTTCAGAGCTCTATAATTTGCTTCAAATTGATTGGTTATTAATACTTTCCCGTATTTTCCAGCCATTAAATAACTTAATAAAATAAGTATAAGCCAAATTTGATTTCTCGGAGCAATAGAATTAGATATCCAGGGGGGAAATGCTATTATTTTTTGTTACATTAGCAAAGGTGATTTAAAACAAAAAGATGTGGAAACAGAAAACAATGGTAACTGCCACTGTTCAACCAAACTTTCAAACTATGCAATTAATATTTATGATTTGTCATTTTACTATTTTTATTGATATATTTTTACTATTTTTCCTTCCTTTTCTAGCTACCAAGAGCATATAATCAAATTTATTTTAAAGTTGATTTTAATGACAGACAATTTTAAACAACAAGGAAAACATAGTTATCTACTTTTTCGCAGTCATCATTATGCTGGGAATATGGAAAAATGAACTAAGAGTCTCTTAAATCTAAGAATCAATATATAGTCATACACCAAATAACACTTCAGCAACTATGGGCCAAGCAACTGCGAAATTCCTATCACCAATGAAGAAGCAAAAGAAAAGGAAACTACTTGCTTTGTTATTTTGTTTTGTTTGAGATAGGATCTCACTATATAATCCTGCCTAGCCTAGAACTCATGATGTAGATCAAACTGTCCTCAAACACAAAGATCCACCCTGTCTCCCAAATGCTGAGGTTAAAGGCAATTAAAGGAGTGTCTCACCACAAACAGGTTAGAGCACAATTTCTTTGCTTCTTTTCAGTTTAGATAATGACAATACTTACCATTACAAGAGGGTGGTCAGAGTGTTTAGTATAGAAACATACTAAGCAGTGTGCTGTTTAGAAGAAGGTCATATACCCTAAGGAGGCATTAGGTTTGCTTCTGCATATTCTATGATACTCATACTAATAAAATCCCTTAATAATGTACTGCTTAGAATGTAAACTTATTGTTAAAGAATGCAAAAATATATTTAAAATGCATTCTAAGTATACTATGAACCAATAAGGATTTTTTTCATAGACCATACTTACAAATCACACATTTAAGCAAGTTAAAACTTATAAAATTGATTATAAAAATATAAATATCTTGACTTTATCACTGTGTAAAATCTTAATTCTTAAAATGTTTCCTATTCTTTGTTAAGAACCGTCTAAATGAATGAAAACCACAGTCAGCTTAGAAAGCAAAGGCCTGATTCCCTAGAGTATTGTAACAAAATCAAAGGATATGTAGTGATAAAAGTTCTAAAGGAACAGAAAAGAAGTTCAGGTAATTTAGAAAGTTTTAAGTATTACATCTAGCTGTAGCACTCAAGGTATGCATCTTAGGAAAGTGAAGTCAGTATTCAGAGATAGGTGCACAGCCATGTTTACTGCAGCACTACTCACAAGATCTAAGACAAAGTCATCCCAAAGATGACTAAGTCAGTATAGGCATGCAACGAAGTATTACTGTGCCATAAAGAATGAAATCAGGCCACTTGCCGAAAAATGGGCATATTTTGAAGACAATATATTAAGGAAAATAAGCCAAACAACAAAGGTTTCATGGTTTCTCTCATATCTAGAAAGCAACAGACAACCTGAGAGTGCTGACGGACTCTGAGGATAAGGATAGAATTGGGGAGGAGGGAAAGACAAAGAAAACAGGCTAAAGGGTGAATGTTACAAAAGCATGTTTATACAGAAATCTTATACTGAACTCACTAATGTGTATAATTAATATGTACTAGTAATTACAATAAACAGTATGAAGAAAACAGTTGTAAAATGTATAAATGAAACATCAGCTGATGAACGTAAAACAGAATGGTGTGGGATCTTTTCTTTTCTATAATACAATCTAATATTGTACATTATTTATTTATTCATCTACCTTTTAGTATTAATGTGACTGTAAGGTTAAATTACTGGTATCAATTTTAAGTCATTTGCATCTCTATATAAAATGAAACCCAAATTACACAAAACTTGAAGGTATAGCAACTATGAAATCTATATACCCAAAGAACCCAATATCTACTTCATTTATAAAACCTAATACTTTAATAGAAAAATACCATTATTCAGAATGATAGCTTAACTGCAAACTACAGTTTTCAAAGTAATTAAACAAATGTACATTTTTCTGTGATTCCTATTCAATTTATTTCACTCAAACCAAACAGTCATTGGCATTATTACAAATTCTATAAATGAGCTTGATATTAAGACAAACAAAGTAACCTAACAAATTTCTATCTTTTCTTTGCATTTGCATTCCCATTTGTTTACATATAACACTAAGAAAGTTTTCAAGATGCTGTTTAAGATCTCAGTAAATTCTCAGTAAGATCAAGCAGCTCGCATTAATATCTCCACACACTTGGGACTGACAGCCTTGTTTGGCCAGCCATATGGTTACACTGATCACTGCAAAGGTGTACTGTGGGCTTTGCATTCCGTTACATGACCTACCTTAGGAACCCCAGATGATGTTGGAGGAAGAAACGAGTGTTCACACTGCTCTAGGTATTTTTCTGAGTTAGTTTTCCCATACAGAAGAGTAACCACTAAGCCCCTATGGGGGGAAAAAGGAATTAAAGATTAAAAAAACAAAGTATTTCTATACTTTATAATATTTATTACTAAATATACTTCTCGGGCTTTATGGCTTAGCATTTCTTAAAACTTAAGTCTTGAAATTTTGGAAATTAAAATTGATAGATTTTTGTTAGCCTCTGAAACTTAGAACAGCTGGATGCATTCATTACGAAGTGCTTTTCAAAGTTTTACTCAAATAACTTTTATTTTTAAAACCTTCAGTCCCAAGAATAATGGAGTATGCCTTTAATCCTAGCACTCAGAAAAGAGAAGGGCAAGAGATCTCTGTGCATTTGAGGACAGCCAGGGTAATGTAGAGAGACTCTGTGTCAAAAGACCAAAACCAGTCAAAGCTAGAGGTGAGGAAGGCCAACAAAGAAGGGGGAGGTAAGGTTAAAATAACACTGATGATGTGTAAGAAAGTCATAAGGAATCATATTATTATTTATTTACCTAAAACTACATATAATACATATAAACATCTGTGTGTATGTGTGTGCATGTGTGTGTGTGTTTGTCGTTACAATTTGTGATACATATCACCTGTAGATGATAGGCCCTTGTGTTTTGGTCCTATGTATCAGTTTAATTTGATAATCAGGAGCACTTAAAAATACAATAAAGTAATTATTTAAACTTGTACTCTTAAGATCACGACAGATAAAACACTAATCTTAGCCTATGATGCAAGTAAGAAAGCAAGTTCAAAGAACAACTAGTTGATTCTTTTGGCTGATGCTTAAGTACAACTAGAAGCTACGACTGGCTAGAGGATAGCTGAAGCACTAAATGTTTGACTCACAATCAAGATCTAGGGGCTACAAATTATTAAATAATCCATCTAGCATCTAGACATTGTGCATGTCTTTAATCCCAAACACTTGAAGCAGGTTTAAGACCAGCCTGATCTACAAGGAAATTCCAGGAGAGCCAAGGCTACACAGAGAAACCATGTCTGGGGGGGGGGGGGGGGCTGGAGTAAATAAAAAAATAAAAAATAGACAGAATAAATACAGCAAATGTCCTGAAATAATACTGTAATGATGACATTGTCCCATGATTTAAGAACAAGAATCACCCTTGTGCTTCCTCCTGTCAAAGTGTTTTTCTTAAGACTGCAAAGAAATGATTAGCTTTAACTGTAAGGGAAAAAAATGCCTATATCATCATCATTTTAGATGAATACACTACAGAACATTTTAAAACTTAAGCTCTTTTTAATCAAAGAACCAGATGGGTTGTTCACAGGAAAATATAATCCTTTTAAATAGCAACACATCTTTAAAATTTTAAGAAAAAGCAAAGATAAACTAGCAAATGACTTTGAATTTATAAAATATCATCAGTTGACTCTAAAAATCTATTTTGTTGCTTAAATTTACAATACATTGAATGATATAAAGTTTCACTGAAGGGATAGTCAGTCCACATAATCAAGGTCACAAAAAGAAAACAACCTTGTTGGCCATAAGGAAGCATTCAGAGAATGTCTGATTAGATAATTCTCTTCAACTGGGTTACAGGGGAAACAAAAGACCCTTGTTATGTCAGGGAGCCCCAATATGGTCAATGGGCTAGTACAGAATCACACTAATTCACAGTATAGCATTAGTTTGGAATCCATCCTACAACTATAAACATTTTAAAAAGTTTTACTAACTTCACCACACCTTCCAATAATCTGTCTTTATCTAAAACCTTTATAGAATTCTAAGTATCCAAACCATTTTTGAAAATTATTCCTTGATAAGTTAGCAAAATCAGAAAAAGGTCAATAAAACTTCTAGTAACTCTGTAATGAGTAGATGATCGCTCTTCCGTTTATCAAATTCTGTATGTAATTTACTGTTGAGAAAGAAATCCTTCTCAAAAGGGGCAGTGGTGGCACACACATTTATTCTAGCATTCCAGAGGCAGAGACAGACAGATCTTTGAGTTCGAGGCCAGTCTGCTTGAGTTTCAGGACAAGCAGGGCTACAGAGAAACCCTGTCTCAGAGAGAGAGAAAAGAGAGAGAAGGGAAGAGAGGGAAGAGAGGAGACAGAAGGAAGAGAAGGAAGAGAAGGAGGGATAAAAAGATGGAGAGGGAGAAAGAGAGAGAGAAAAAGAGACAGACACAGAGAGAAAGAGAATGAATGAATGAATTTCCTGCTTACTGTCTTAGAATTCTCACCCTGTCTCTAAGGCTACAATTTCCTATCTTTCAAAAGTAGTGGGAAATATTTTTAAATACTTTTCCTTCAATCTTGAAAAAGGGCTTATTTTAATTATGAAATTAGTAGAATTTCTACCTTGAAGACTCTTAAAGTTTAGAAAAGCATCTCTTTATGAAAAATAATCTTTCCAGTGAGTAAAAGCACTCTTGACCCTGTGGTGTAAAGTGTAACCATGCAACTCAGTGTAGTTAAAGATCTCTTCTGGCTTTGGACCGGAAATATTTGTTTTCAGACATCCTGTACCAATGTTTTCATTAAAGATATTCTGAATTCTGTGTCACCTGACTTCTGTGGCTGAAATAGATTTAAATATTTCAGTTCAAGATATGGCATCTAGGTAATTACTAAAAAAATACTGAATTTAACAAAAATAGTTTTGTGGCAGAACTGCTTAGTATCCAATGGTGTGCTCCCTAGGAACTGGCCACACACAACTCTCAATATACATATACATACACATTGCAAGTCCACCTCAAGGAGAGGATGGGTAGTAGGTATCTACAGAAACCATCCCTTTCATGTCTCTCTCACACTATGTCCAAGTTTACGTGCTCAATCAGCTAAAGCCACCCAAAACTCATGTTCAAAAAATGCATTCAAATGGAGGTTCCAAAAATATTTTCAAGAAGTATTAGGAAGTGTACACTGTATACTAATTACATAAAATGGACTTGATAAACACATGCACAAGTCAACAAGCAAATACTCATTCTAGCCGAGCTACACTGGACAGAGTTTCATAGTCATTCCACCATCTAGACTTTCCTTATAATGCTATGTCTAATAACAAGTGTTATGTGCACAAAGCTATATAACACAGTTTGGCTAGAACCTTCTTTGTAAATGTTTATAACATAAAGAATATTACAATACTATAAATCAAGTAACCATAAAGAGAAAACTATATAAGGAAGTATTTATCCAAACTGTCTGGACCAAAGTAATAACATTTATCTGAAGACACAATGATTATTTGGCATCTAATCAACGCAATAGCATCTCCTTTAATGTAAAACTAGATGTGTTATCTCAGCTAATCATAGTTTCCTAATAGATAATAAAATTCTAACTTTAAACCAAGAATATTAATTTTTATATTATAAAAGATATTTTCATGTTTAGTAATTAAAACTTTATTTCAAAAAATAACCACCACATACAAAAGGGAATCTTAATTTTACTTGAATTTTTTTATAAACTTTGGTAACCAAAATTTGAAAAATAGCATCCACAAATAAATCATAATCCTAGTTCTCATAGTCAATTTGTTTCTACTTTAACAAAATATCACACATAAAATTATAAAATTTTCATTGCACATACTTACCCTCCCACAAAGCAGAGGATATAAAATGCCAAATAAAATATCACAAAGGGTCCAAAGGTTATTAGAAAAAGGACAATGCCAAGGCTTCCCCATCCCCATATGGATAGACTGGCCTGAAACAAAGCAAAGGAACACAAGGGGGGTGCAAATAAGAACAAAGGAAAGAATTCTTTATAGAAATTAGAAAAAGAGCTTTTCAGTAGTTTTTAATTTCTCCTTTTAAACACCAACGATTTAATTTTTTTCATTTTATATATTTACAGTATATTTTAGTAAGCATTAAAGTATTTACTTTTGGAAATATAATATATCCTTGGATGCTCATTTCCAAGAAACAGCACTCAAGAAATTAAGAGAGATCATCAATAAATACTGAGGGAAAAAAGTGGGAATACAAAGTTGCAATAACAGACAGTTATGCAAATTACTGAATGAAAACCTGCAGAAGAAATAAAGTATTTAAGATAATTGAATGTTTATATTTGTAAAAGCATACAGAAAAGTATTGGGATAGCTGACTAGTTTACAAAGTTATTATTAATAATACTTTAAAATTAAATCTCAACTATAACAAACATTTTTAATTAAAATTTCAATATACATTATCTTACTGAAAATTACATTTTTATTATAGCCAACTGCTACACAGAAACTTAAGAAAATATACTTGAGAAAACTCCAAATTCCATCACCAAAGGTAGCCACAAGTTTAACAAAGTATGTCCAAAATCTCCATCTTTTAAATGAAAAAAAAAAAAAAAACCTAGTTATAGAGAAACATACTGTTTTATACAGTAAAGTATTTTTTTGTTAAAGGCAAACTGGATTTCAGCAATTTAAGTTTTAATGAATAAATAAAGATATTCAATTCAAATAGTGTCTCCATAAATTTGCTATGCACTATAATGTATACAAAGATGGTATTTGTCTGACTCCTGCTATCAAAAAGAGCAGAGAAAACTGTATTATAAGACAAAAACAATTAAGACACTGAACTGAAAGAAAGAAGGAAAGAAAGGAAAGAAAGGAAAGAAAGGAAAGAAAGGAAAAAAAGAAAAAGAAAGAAAGAAAGAAAGAAAGAAAGAAAGAAAAGAATTAACAAGATGCTACACTAAACAAAATTGATGTCAAAAAAAAAACTATTGCACAGCAATACATATTGTCGATTATGAATGAAAGGGTTTTATGTAGTCATTCGCCAGTCACTGACTCTTTCATATGTAGTTCAGCATAGTTGAAGGTGCTGATATTCTAAGTAACAAAGCACAACCTTGAAAAGCAGCACAGGCACGTATGTTTATACGGCTCCACAAGATTACATTCTTGAGCGAGTAAACACAAACAAGTGAAAACAGTTCATCAGGACAGCTCCTCCAGAGAAAACAAGCAGCTAGGACTGATTAGAGAACACAGAAACAGGAGGCTCTTCCACAACTGACTTACGAAGAATTTATTTATGACATTGAGTCTTCCTATGAAAAAAATGGATTTTTATTTATTCGTATTCTCTTCTATGTTGTTCATCAGAGTCTTTTTGCCATAACCACCTTCCTGATTCCAGGAGTAGCACAACTATTGTTCATTTTTATTTTTATTATCCTTTTTCTGCATCCTGGCCACTGACATCTCTTAGCCAAAGCCTGAATGATCATAAGTTAAAGTAGACACTGGAAGTAAAGCAAAAAGCACCCTTGTCCCTTTGATCATCACTGAACTCAACACATAGCAACTACATCTCAGCACAGCATTGCCAGATGCCCAGCAACAAGAAACACTCTGTCTCCCAAGGTCCGTCCACCCAAACTGTTTACCAGCTTCCCCGGAGAATTCTGGTAAACTCCCTAGAAAGGTGAAGCTAGACATGGTACATACAAGTATTATTCAGCCCACTTTCTCTAGTGCAATCTAATATTAACATCAGATTAATACTTAACATTAGCATTAATACTCTTTATGTATACAGATTGGTGCTTGTTAGTTTCAGAACTAAATAACATATTGATTAATGATATATTCATAAGTTTTTAAAACAATAAAATAGCTATTCCAGCTTGAAAAACAAGAGAGCCTTCTCAAATACTTATTCACCAGGCTATTTAGTTCTAATTATATAAATCTTCTATTTAGTCTTATGTTTGAATTATATCTTTCTCAATTAAACAAATTTTCAAGGGGCTGGCAAGACGGCTCAGTGATAAACGTTCCTGCTGCCGAGCCTGCAGACCTGAGTTCCTATCTGGGACCTATATGAGAAGAAAGAACTAACTCCTGCATGTTGAACTCTTCAGACACACAGTGAGATGTGTACACACAAAAAATAAAAAAATAAATGTACAAATATATAATATTTGAATTAAAAAATAAATTTTCAAAGTAATCATAATTAATTGGTATTAATTACTAAGATTAATTTAAAAAACAATTAGCTACCAAGGAAGACCCAAAATTTGTCTTAAATCTCAAGTTTTCTGTAATGGGGGTAGGGAAGGAAAATGCTCAGACTATACTCAAGACTGACCTCAAACCAGTCTAGACTAGCTCAAATGCTAAGCAATCCTCCTGTTGAGACTCCTACTAAGTCTTCAGATTCTTCCAAGTCTAACAGTGAATTAATAATACTTCTTACACATAAGAAAAAGTCTACAATGTTTTGCTTAATTAAGGAGAAAAATTTTGTTTTGTTTTGTTTTGTTTGGGTGTGCTGGCTTGTTTTGTTATTTATTCTTTTGCAATTTCATTATGTGTATGTATGCATGCTTTAGTCATATTCTGCAATGCCAAGGATCTAACCCTGGGAACCTGAGCTTATTACATGCTAGGCAAGTGCTGTTTGTTCAGAACTATCTCTACAGACCAGGGAAAAATTTAAAATCCTGCAGAGTAACAAGATTCAGCATGTCCAACTAAGTCACGAAATCATTTGAGTGTTAGTCTTTTACAACTATCTACTAGTTTCAAATTAAAAATTCCTTATTGAAACATTAGAACAGTGCATTATCAAAAAAGAGATTTTTTCATTAAAAATTTTTAACTAATGCTAGTTAATCTAGTTAAACACCTGTAATTCTAATAATTTCCTAAAATGATCAAGAATGATGAAATATAGGATAATTTTGACTATGTCAAAAATCTTCACAAACTCAGACAAATATCACATAAAAAGGATGCCAAAAAAGGGAAAGAAATCAACATTACATTAAATAATCCTTCATATATTACCAATTTCTTTGCTAAATTCACAAATCAACACTAAAATATCCATGCCGGTTTATCCTGGAATCACTTAACTCAAAGCTGGAAACCTGTAAGGCTAGCCCAGGGCTTCCCAAGCTTCCAGCGCCTAAGCTGCAGATTCACAGCGTGTGCAGCTGAGGCAGGGTCCAGGATGGTTTTCCTAACACACTGTAAGAATGGTTTATACTTTAGCCCATTCTATAGTTATAAATCTTCCTAAATCTAGATCCAGAAAACATTATATACAATTCTAAACTCTAAAAGCTTTTGAAAATCAACACTGTACGAAGCACTGTCCATACTACTTAATTTATTCCTTGGAATAACTTAGAAAATAGTGAAGTAGAGGTATACACTGAGAGAAAATGTTTCCTTGGCTCTGGAGTTAAATTTCAACTGTACTATTGATTAGCTGTGTAATCATCACATGCTTTCATTTCATTTCCTCACCCAGGTTATGAGTTACTGTGAGGAACAAATGAGCCCATGCCCCATTGGCCAACGTTAACTCAATCATGACTATCATTTCTATATAACAGTAGGTAAAGAGCAGCTGGAGATGTACAGAGCTCCATTGGTAAATTTCTTCCCAGCACACAGGAAATTCTGGATACAGTCCTCAGCACTGTGTACAACCAGGTGACATGTTACACCCTGTAATCTAGGACTCCAGTGGTGAAAGCAGGAAGATCAGAAAGTTCATCATCCTCAGCTACAGTGAGTTCAAGGAAAAATTGAGCTACATGAGTCCTTGATTCAGAAAGAAACAAACAGTGTGTGTGTGTCACACACATTAAAGGAATTAAGACATAAGGATTTGTCTCAATTTTCAAGGTCACACACCTAATACTGCAGTAGATGACAGTTAATACAGAAAACTCTAACTGGCCAAAATGTCAAGAAGAAGTGTTTGGTGACAAATGGAACATTATTATCGATCCTCCGAAGTTTCAGGGTGCATGCATCATGGAAGAGGGAACAATGTGATAACCATAAGGATGGCAGGACCCTGTAACAAAAATGTGTTCTAAACATGACACAACCATAGCACTCATGCATGCACTGCAGCTGTGGTTACATGCATGAGATGGAACCTCTAAATATTTTCTCATACACGGGGGAGGAACCCCTGAGGCCCCACCCCTCAGTACCTATTGACAGATATCGGTTACTAGAAGAGAAATTGTCCTTTCTTCAGTGGAGTAGCCTGATAGTTTATCCATACTCCAGTATTAAATAAACTCCAACCCACATTCCTGCAAGCAACTCTAATTAAACTCAGTGGGGCACACACACAAAAAGCTTGAAGGTAGGGACAGGTTGTTAAGAAGTTGTTACTGGAGGGGAAAAAAAGATGAAACGTGGAACAAAAGTTGTTTTTCTAAAGACTAAAAGTCCTATATACATGCATGAGATGGTCAAAAAATTTTTTTGTTCAAGACAGGGTTTGTCTGTATAGTTCTGACTGTCTGGAACTCACTCTGTAGACCAGGCTACCCTCTGAGAGGCCTAACAAGCAGCTGAAAGTCAGATGCCGATACTCACACTCAACCGATGGACCTAAGCCAGGACCTCTGTGGTTGAATTAGGGAAAGGCTGGAAGAAGCTGAGGAGTAGGGTGACCCCATAGCAAGATCAGCAGTCTCAATTAACCTGGACCCTCAGATCTCTCAGACACTGGACGACCAACCAGGCAGCATACACCAGCTGATATGAGACCCGAAACACGTATACAACAGAAGACTGCCTGGTCTGGCCTCAGTGAGAGAAGATACAACTAACCCCTCAAGAGACTTCAGGCTCCAGGGAGTAGGGAGGTCTGGTGGGATAGCGTTGGGATGAGGGCATCCTCTTGGAGAAGAGGGAGGAGGAATGGGAT